TATATATATATATACATAATTATACATTATTATATATATATACATAAATTGCAAAAGTTGTCGAATTTATAGTTACTATAACTATATTTGTTATAACTATATTTTCTTTCAGTGTAGCAATTTAATAATTTGATGTTTTTTCATATCTTAGAACGATTTTAATAACACATTTTCATTAAAATAAAATACAACAGCATTACATACATTGACAGTTTCAGACAACTTCATTGTATTTCTACTAATTATAAAAAAATACTGCTATACTTATGCGAAGTTTAAAAAAGCTATTTCTCTTTTCCAAAACATTTTTTTTTTTTCTTTTTCATCTACGAATTCAACGTGACATTTTTGGAATTTCAAAAAATTGTAACGTACAAGAATATAAAACACCGCTGGAAGACACAAAAACCAGCAAATAAAGCAAGATGGATATTATAACTGCCGATATTATAATTTGTAAGTTATTTTTTAGTAGATTTCTCCCTATTTGATACCCAAACCGATCTCATTTTTCTTGACGAAGTTGAATCTCCTTCCCTCTTACTTCGTGATTCGGTCAATTGATTTGACTGATTGATTAATTGATTTGGCCAATTTCTATGCAATTGTGACGCAAGCCACCATGAATGCCATTTTCGTGCGAATGACTTTATGCAGCACTTTAAACAGCAAATCATACATCGATCAAAATGCAAGGAAGTAAGCATAAAAATCATGCATTGTGTATGATTAACTTATTGATTGCTTAGAAAGGAGGAGAACATTCGCAATCTAGAGCAGAGCCTTATAACTAGTGATGGAAGGGATGGTATGTGTAGTTGGACAGTGTCTCTTGCTAAATCTCTGCTCTCTCCGTCTATGGACTGTTCGCAGTCCATGAGTGGGCTACCAATTGTGAAATGCTAAACATAGAGCGGTATTTATAGTTTATTTTTATTTTAAAATTGTCTTAAATAATGTATCAAAATGCTAATATAGTTCTCAGATTGACTTATGACATCTTAAGACAGTCTTAAATGTAAGAATTGACTATGAATACCGGCTTTTTTCGCGTCGAGAAATTGATACTGAATCTTTTTTTATTTGACTTATAATTCATTTTAGGTTCTCTTTCTATAGAAAGAGAAATATAAAGTTAAACAAGAAAAGATTAGTATCAATTTCACGAAAGCAAGTTGATATTGTTATGACCCAAATAGGGTTATATTCAAAATCTACGTCTGCAGAATTTCTGTAGACCAGCAGTTAAAGTATCACTTACTTTTGATTTCAAAACGGATGTCATACTTTAAAATGCATCCAACCACACATTAATTCGATCTAATTGTAAATATAAAAGCCTCAAGCATCTCAGAGCCGTTCCAAAAAGTCAAGAAGACACATGATTATTGTGAAAATTTCCGTTACTGCGAGTACTACTGGGAGACATCGTAAGATTGTAACACATTGAATACTCGGAAATAAAACTTCTTACACTATGAACGCTGGCCTATATTAATTGGAGAACCTCGGAGTCCTTACCAAACGACA